CTGTATCATGCAAAATAATACATTCAAGTGAGTGTAAATAAATGTATTATATATACACGTGCGCTGGAACTCGAGGAACTGACACAGCATTTAAAATGTTAACTTTAATATACAAATTGTACATGTGGTCTGTAGTTACTCTGTGTAGCCCATTTAATGTACTTTATATAGGGCTGAAACAATCAATCTGTCATAATGGGTGAAGGACTCTAGTCCATAAGCAGAACCACTCGGAGAGAGGGTAAAGTTTAAAGGTTTATTTAAAGGAATGTTAACTAATAAACAACTCCAGGGTTTGGGAAACTGATCAGGATATGGTTCCCCGCTGGTCTGGGGATGAGCAGAGCTGCAGAGAGGGGGGGAAACCTTGTGGATCCAGAGGCTGTTGGCCGAGGGCTGAGGGCTAGCAGAGCTGAGTGCAGGCAGGAGGTGAACTAGGCTGAGACAGTCTGAGTGCTGGCGGGCAGGTTTCTGGTTGGGAACCCTGTGCTGGCAGGAGGAGAGCTGAGAGCTGGGCAGAGGCTGTCAGAATGCTGGCGGGCAGATTCCAGGCTTGGCTCACTCTCTCTTCCTCTCTCTTGAGGACCAGGCTGAGGTGGGCGACCTTGAGGGTCCAGAGGCTGTCGGCAGGCTGAAGGCTTGGCGGAGGCAGAGCTTGGTTGAGTGTTTGCAGATTTCTGGTTTGGGTTTCCCTTCTAGATTCTTCAGAGAGCTGGCAGGCAGGTCCTTGGCAGGAAAAATTCTCCAGGGTTCTTTGGAGATCAGGCGGGCATATATCCAACAGAGAAACTCTTCTGAGTTTTCAGGTTTTCAGGCAGGTTCAACCTGGGAAGCAGAAAGGAGAAAACGGATCAGGTTCAGGTTTTAAGGGAGTCAGAGATTCAGACAGGCAGGTTGGCTCAGGCTTGCTAACCATAAATGGCAAACACTCTGGCACTGGAGTGTAGCTCTCCGCCACCTTAAGTAGGGACCTCTTGATGACCAGATGGAAAACAGGTGTTGCAGGTGAGCACCAGCCCTCAGGAAGGGATCCTTGGCGCCCTCTGGTGGGCAGGCCTCCGGATCCCAACACAATCATATTGATCGATTATTTAAATTATCATCAACTAATTTAGTAATTGATTAATCATTAACCAGAGTATAGGGCCACTAAAATGTGCCTTTAGCCGACAGAACGACCCATGTAGAGCAGGAATTATACCAAGATTGTAAAAATATGTAAACATTTTGCATGTTAGATTAAAAAAAAAAATTTTTTTTCTGTCAATGTTCTCCATCCAGAACTCCTCAAAAGGAAACGTTTCTGTTTCCAGATAACATCTTCTTTAAGGAACCTTTGTCTATCTGATTATTAATCGATTAATCGAAAAAATAATCGACAGGTTAATCAATTTGCTAAATAATCATTAGTTGCAGCCCTAATTTTATGGTAACATTCCAAACACATTTCTTCCATAATGCAGCACTGAAGGGCAGCTGCTTCACCCTGAGGCTGCCCTGCAGTATTATAACTGGATTTTCTACAATCATAAAATGTTTCTATTATAAAAGTGCGTTTTTAATAGTAAAGGATTAAATGTAACACAACCTTTTATCATCATTCCTATATGGCTTACTGTCTGACTGTTTAAATAGCTCCTTATGTCTATTTTCTTTTTTAGTAACATCATCTACAAACACAACACTAAGAATGAGCCTAAGTTTATTCAAATATAAAATCACTTTGAACAAAAATAAAAGACAACATAACACTATCTTATCTGTAATGAAATGGTATCCAAAATAAACAGCCAGATTCAAGCATTATTTACCAGACATTAATGTTTGTACTAATTTACTTATGGACTGTGTGGAAATCTAGAAAAATAGAATCAGTGTAAATAGAGTTCCTCTGTTTTTCTTTATCCTATTTCTGGAAGTAGAAGTCAATTAAATAAAACTATTTTTATGTGGAAAACAAAAAAATAGCAGATCTTTAGCATCCTTCTCGTGTTGTTATGTTCTACAAAAGAAATAACAGCTGAAAACAGAAATAGCAAAGAAATATTGGTTAAAGGGAATCAGAAATGTTGATAGTTTACAGTCTTTGTTCATTGTAACGGCATTTTTCAGAACTCATGTCTGACTCAGTATATTTAGGTTTATAAAAGAAATCCTAACGTTGGTTACTTACATTTCTCAAGTTCCACTAATCCAAACTCTCTCCTGTTTCTTTACAGAACTGGAATCAGAAGCTTTCGCCTGTTTTAGTGTAACTAATATTTAGTTTTTTAATTGGGAATAGTTTCCTAGCCTAATATTAATTTTGGTAACCGCCTTAGTCTAGAGTCAATCTGAGAGTTAAACAATGCAGCACAGTTCCATGCGCTGCTACGTGAAAGGAAAGACCAGGCAGCTGCAGCTACCAGGCAAAGGAGCTGAGAGAGGAAAAGAAGCCACTGCTGCAACAACTACTGCTGTAAATTATAAACATGTTGTTCACATCCAATTATTGGTAGGGACAAATAGGTCGTTCCTAAATTTTGGTAGGGACATGTCCCTATGGTCCCTATGCAAACCTACACCCATGGTCCTTATCCATGTGGTTAGTTTCCCCTTAAACACGTTTTTCTATTGTTTTAACTCTGATTGACCAAACAAAACTATTACTTTAAAATATGCTTTGGATCCAATCATATAAGATGATTTTATTTAAAACTATCATAACTTAATTCTATACACAGATTAAAGGCATAATTTTATAATTGTTTTCAGCCTGAGATCAGGCAGCAATAAATGATGTTTTAGGGTTTGTTTTTTATTATTTATTGGCACTTATACAACACATGATACATAGATGTGTAAAATAAATTCATGAACCACATCAATATTAAATGCAAGATGATCTGTGTAATTCACAATGATTCTGTTCTAATTGATAGTCAGACTGACCACATTTCACATGGTTTGGTTAATCTGCAGAATAACAGTGACATCTAATGGTGGTATCATCTAGACTGGGTTTTATTCTATTCTGCTTATCTGAAAACCTAAAGAGTGATTCATCATTTCCAATTTATTTTAGATTATTTTAGATATATTGGTATTTCGAAGTGGTCATAGATTACAAAACTGAGTTTACATTGTCATGGTTGAATAACGATAGTACTGTACAGTGGGTGAAATGGACGTATGGAAAAGTTCAAACCCCATTAACACCTCCTTTCCCCATTAACACCTCCAACCCCCCCCCCCCCCCCCCCCCCCCGGGACATTTTTTTTTCTGTATGGAAAGTAGGACATGTCCAGGAAAAAGAGGACGTTTGGTCATCTTGTCTGAGCTGAAATTTAGAGGGAAGGTTGTGTCTCTCCTTCCATTTCAATATTATCGCTTGCACAGTGCTCCTTGGGATGTTTAAAGCTTGGGAAATATTTTTGTATCCAAATACGGCTTTAAATTTCTCCACACAAGTACTTTTACCTGCCTGGTGAGTTCCTTGATTTCCCTGATGCTCTCTGAGATTTAAACAGACATCTGAGACAATCACAGAGCAGGTGCATTTATAAGGAGACTTGATTACACACAGGTGGATTCTATTTATCATCATGAGTCCTTTAGGTTCACATTGGCTCATTCAGAGCTCCTCACTGAAGAGTTTGCTGCACTGAAAGCAATAGGCTGATCAATTTTGCACACCCCACTTAGTTGATTATTTGTTATTTTAAAATAACCAATAAAATTTGTTCCACTTCATGATTGTGTCTGACCTGTTGTTGATTCTTCACAATAAATGTCAATTTTATATTTTTATGTTTGAAGCCTGAAATGTGACAAAAGTTTTAAAAGTTCATCCACTGATGGAAGCGATAACCACAGCAATGACAAGGTCTGTTGAAAAACTAATTAAGTCACATGAAAGGAACATTTATAGATATAAGACCTAAAACAAACACTAAGACGCAACAGAAAAACACATGGCAAAAACATGTAGCGGCTGGCTGGCTCAAGCGTGGCTCAAGCTGACTCACCCGTCCTGCAAACAGGATGCCTGGGTTCGTATCTCAGCTTGGGGGAATGAGCTACCAGTGTGGGTCCTTAGGCGCTAATGCCTGCTTTGGGGAGTGGTGGCCCAAGGGTTAGGGCATTGCGCTTGGAATCTGGGCCCCTAAGTCTGGGTCCACTCTGAGTCCCTGAGCAAGACCCTTAACCCCACACTGCTCTCCGAGTGCCACACAGTGGCAGCCCTCTGCTCCCCAAGGGGATGAATGCAAAGTATTCATTTTTGTTACTGTAGTTGTGGTAGTGTACTGACAATAAAAAAAAGGTGGTGAGGCCAGTCATGTGTTCTACTTCCAAAGTTAATTGTTGTACTGATTCACAGCAGCTCGTTGCCAAGGTCACCAGAACAAATGTCTCTCTGGTCCTTCACTGGTATCTCTCCCTCATCTGTTTTTTAATCAAACTGTTTATGGATTTCTACTGCCCAAGCTCAACTAACCAGTTCAGTAACTTTCTTTTTTGTTTTGTTTTTTGCTTACCTTTAAAGAAACACAATCCTATAACCAACATACAAGCAGTGAATTCCCTGACTCTGTTAAAACCAGACGATTTGAAACTTCATATGCTTCTGCTTTGTTTTTACAACTGCATTCATAAATTTCTACACACTCCACATTTGATCTGCTTTAGCCCACATTTGTGTCTGAGGGATAAATAGGAAGCAGTAAAGGCCTATCCTCATCTCCATCCACTCTCCTGTAGGAGGGGATAATCCATCCATCTATCCAGCAGCGTGACTCTTTATGGATGCCCAAATGCAGCACAGCTTAGCCCAACACTCATCTCTGACCGAGCGAATCATCCTCTCCTCTCTGATGCCACATACACAACAGATGGACCACTCTCATCACCTTTCAGCACTGGTAGGCAGCCCCATTAATATGGAGGAGGGGTGAGAGAGAGCAGAGGGGGAGGGGGTAAATGAGAATTTCAAGTTTTTGTCAGATGAGATGGAAGCTCTTCAACGCATCAGTTGAGCAGGAGTCAGAAGAAGAATAGAGGACTGGAGAAAACTAAAGGAGGTCTGCTTTTTCTTCCCATCTCTTCAGATCAACATGTTGTTTTCATCTTTGCCAAGTTCCTCCCAGCATCAGGAACCGCTCTCTGCCCGTGAGCCATCTTCATTTATGTCATCCTCCTTACAGGACCAACAGCGTTTGATTTTTCTCCAACAACTATGAAACAAAAAAAAGCGAAGGCTGTAGACGCCAGGTGGATGATTAAGAAACGTGCCTGTTCCTCCCCTCATCTCTAACCTATTTTTATTCTCACAACTACTGGCTTAAACTATCCTTTCAGAGATGATGTATGAAACCTTCAGGTGCGTCTGTGGGATGTTGTTTATTTCTGTTGTTGCATTAAGTGGGAGCATCAGAGTTTAACACTGTGAAGGTGTATCCCCAAAGACACCGTTAGGTGAGACAAACTCTTAACCCACATGTCCTTTTTATTTTACTGAAAGGAATTTGAAAGAGATCACAGTTGTTGAAGCCCAGTTTCTGTTTCTTTTCTTCTCATTGAGTGACTCAGAATGAATATCTGGCTTCTTCTTTTGTTTACACCCCTCCTAAGATCACAGGTGAATCCAAAGTTCTTAGAGTTAAATGGCGAGATGCCCAACAGCACTGATTTATCAGCAAACACTACAGGAGGCTCTGAAGCTTTCCCCTCAGAGCTGCCTGAGTTTGGAGAGATACCTTCAGAGGCTCCCACAGAGGATGACTGGTCACCAGCAGAGACTTTTTTATACACTGGAGACCCGTCCACCATGAGCATGGCTCGTTGCTCTCGGGCCTATAGCGTTAAGGGACAGACTGGATCTCTGCCAAGTAACTTCCACATTCCCCTTGGTCCAGCTCTGGATGCCCTGGCTAATACTGCCAACTTTCTCAATATGGTGTTCCAGGCCAGTGACCTTAGAGAGAGTACCGTGGATGAAGACATGGAGTGGTACCATGCTCTAGTTCGCTCCCTTTTGGAAGCAGATTTCCTTATTCAGCGGGCTCTGCTCACCTTTGATGCTGACCCTACTGCCCAAGTGCCACAGCTGGTTCTTTGTGCAACCCGCAACCCAACTGGTAAACAGCAGGGCATCCTCCTTCAGGACTTATCCAAGGCCTGGGACAGCCTCCACCCTCCAGCTCCTGCCCCTGATGACAGCTGGTTTAGAAAATTGAAATTTCCGGAGTTCGGCCAGCCATCTGTAGTCCTGTCCAAGCGGGTGCTCCTCAATGACCTCAGCACCTTAGATACACCAAAGTGGGGACAGGGTGACAGCTATGTGACTAACCGTGCTGGGGTACAGTATGCCAGCTCTCCGTTTCTGGATTGTAAGGATGGATATTTCAAGCCTGGTTGGGTGCTCACCCTGTCGGCCTCCTTCTATGGCCTCAAGCCAGACCTGACACCAGAATTCAGGTCAGTACCTCCTCATCCTCTGGATCAGCGGTGGGCAATTCCAGTTCCTTAGGGCCGGTATCCTACAACTTTTAGATGTGCCTTTGGTTCAACACACCTGAGTGTATTGAACCAAATGTACACTCTATCCAGAGCTGGAGGAACTGACTGCACACTCAGGAGATAACTCAGCCATTTGAGTCAGGTGTGTTGGACCAAGCATGGATCTAAAGATGCAGGATACTGCCTCCTGGCAACAAGAATTTCCCACCCCTGCTCTACATAAAACATGCTAAATAAAGACCATCTAAAAAGTCTACACACCTCTAGTCAAATGGACATTCTATTTGATAAAAAAAAAAGAAAAGGAAATAGAAGACCATGAATTTCAGTACAAAAAACTTTCTTTTAAATTATGTAGCCATTTATTGAAGATACACTTGTTCAATTCCTCATAGCAAACAATTTTATGGCAGTGACTCTGAAGATGACCTAATGATCTTCACGACAAAGAATGTCCTGGGGAACAAAAAGTCCAGTATTTTTGTAAAATTGTTGTCGTCAATGGGCAGAATAAAGCAGGCAGATTGGTTTAAGATGATAGAAAGCCAGCAACAGGTGAACAGATTCTGCCCAATTCTAAAATATCTCCCCTTCTTTCATCGGTTTTGTCGAAACTGTTGTATACTTAACCATTAGTTCTAGTAATGAGTCAACTCTGTCAAACCTGATGATGTCCATCCCTTTATGACCACAGTTTATCCGTCTTCCTCTGCCTCTGCTGAGCTTAAAACTGGTTTCTTGAGAATGTCAAAGAGTTTACTTTACTCCGATAGACTGCACAGTCACCTGATATCAAATAGAGCACCTTTCAGGATGTTAAGGGGAGATTACCATAACTGAAGGACAGCTGATAAATTTGCTTCAACTGTTTGATGATTTTATGCAGTATAAATCCAAGTCTGTGAGAAATGTTTCTAACATCTTGTTAAGTCTCTGCCACGAAACAAATGAAGGCCAATATGGAAGCAAAAGGAGTCAAGCATAATAGCAAACCTGTTAGGATGAAACATAATTAATCTGTTAAAACTCTATGAATGTATTATAGAATAATGAACCCAAACCTGGTGCAATAGGCATTATGAAGCATTTGGGCTGACTTATTTCAGTTAGAGAAAATTATAATAAGTCCAAAATATTCATCTGTTCTGACTCAAAAACCTTCATCTGTAGAGCAATACCGGCATCAAAGTGACGCCAGGCATGAATCCAAGTTAATAAAAGGACTAAATTGTAGGAAAATGAATATACCCCAGAGGAAAATTTTGATCTAAAATAAACTGTCTAGGTTTAACTATATGGGACCATTTGCAGTGTTGGGCAAGCTACTTGTCCAGTGTAGTGAGCTAAGCTATCAGTTACTCAACAATAAATTAAGCTTCACTACATCAAAGCTACCACCTAAAGAATTATAGCAAGCTAAGTTACACTAATGTGTTAAAAGTAGCTTAACTACATCAGAAGCTACTTAATGTTGTACCAACCTAATGTCAATTCAAAATGAGTCTGATGCACTGGTTAAAACATTTATTAAAGATCAGCCAATGACATAACACAGTGTAAACATTGCTTTATGATCAGCATATTAAAATAAAAACTGAAGTAATTACTAGTAGACAAACTAGTAAATAATCTGTTATTAGAACCAAATTATAGGTACTGTGTAGTGTTCTACACATGGAGACACGGCTATGAGTTTGCATTCAATGGACATCTCTAGGGAAAACAAAACCCTACAAAAGGCATCTGATTTCTTTAGGGTCTCCCTTAGAGAAAACTTCTCCAGACCTCAATTAAACAGTCGATTCAAGTAACAAATTAAACTGTTTACAAAAGAAGGTGAAAAAATAAAGAAGCTAATTAAGAGATACATATATTTATGTCTCACCATATAGTTAAATTTCTACCTACATATTTATTCATTGTATTTTTGGGGGGTAATTAATTGAATGTTTTATTTATTGAGCATTTATTTATTTATGTATTTATGTATTTATTTTATATATGGGAGAGCTGTTCCTCCATAAATAAAAAAATCTTATCTGTGCAAAGCCTAAAAACAGATTTATGTAAACATCCTGTCAGGTAAACTAGGCCATGAAAATACAATATGGAAGTTTCACTACTGCTCTCTAATTAGAGTATCTTAGTGGCACATAAGGGAGAATTATCCTGCCAAAATGCAAGAGCACATAATTTCAATTTGAGAAAAGAATTTCATCTTCTTGCACTCAAAACTTATAATGCTCACACTCAAAACATGCGCTCTCTCTCAAATATTTTCTCTTCTCTCTCAAATCTTTGTTTCTTCTCTCAGATTTAATGCTTCTTGCACAGATATTTTCTCCTCTCGCTTGCCTCCTTCTCTTCACGCACAAAAACTGCACTCTGCTCGAGTCTCAGATACGCTCGCAAACCCATAGGCTCTGCTTGCGGATTTTTTTTGCTCTCTCTCGGATTGCAGTTGGATTGCTACCATGCCACTTATAAGAGCGTCAGCTGAAACTGCTATTTACAGTAGTTTTGTGGCTGATTGTTGTTTCAAAATAGAAAACCTGGTTTCATTTCTTAGTTATGCCCTGGATTTTGTAGCGTTTGTGGATGCTACGTCGCTACTTGATCAAAGAAATAACGTTGCTACAGAAAAGTTACTTGATAAATAAAGCAGCAACTCGACGGTCAAGCTACTGGAACATGTAGTTAAACTAATAGCTTCGCTACATGTAGCGGCGCTACTACCCATCACTGACCATTTGTCAAGGTTGGGTTTGGTTTGGAGGACCCAAATGCAGAAGCACAGAGTCTGAGGAGATTTCTAGGAGTTTTAATGGGGCAAAAACAGTAAACAAAGACAGGAATCCAAAAATCCAACTAATAATGAAAAGCAAACCAGAACTAAGGAGACATCTGGGGAAACCAAACACGAGGAGCCACGGAGGGACGAGGTAGGAGGACAACATCATGAGAGGACAGCAAAGACAAGGAACCAACAAAGAGTGACAGCAGAGGGAGAGCATATATAGACAAAGGGAAGGCTAACGAGCTGACAAGGAGCAGGTGTGAGAGGAGACAACGAGGGAGCCAAGGGGAAAGGAACACACACAAACACACAAGGGCAACAGAAAAACGTGAGAACTAACATAAATCTAGAAATTACAACAAAGGAATAAACCAATAAAACTAGGAAACATAGAGCAAAGTAAAGCACAATAGAAAGAAGACCATGAAACCATTGACACCAGATATCTACACAATCTGAGTGAGTTAGAGTGGGCAGATATGGCCAAGTCGAGAGAATGGGATACTAGCTGTAAAAATGACAGAATGTAGTGGTTGAATCAAAAGATACTGCAATAAGGTGTTGGTTACAGATAGGCTGAAACTAGGTTGGTGCAGCTTTTTCTTTTTTTATTTCCCCAAATTTCTTTTAGTTTTCAGTTGAAATTTAGGATTAAAGTACAGAAATGTTTTAAAATGATCTATCTTGGTCTCTGTTTTTTTTCCACTACAAAAATGAGCAAGCAGGTTAATTTTACAATAAGCACGACACTCTAACACCAAGCAGCAATATTTGTGGCATTTTAATTTATTGTTCTTTTATGGGAGTTTAGAAAATTAAAAGTCAAAAGAAAAGTTTTAATTGGCATGGATCGCAGAATTTAAGTATAATCTTAATATAAAAAGGAATTCTCTCAATTACCAAATTTTGGAAAAACATCCAGAATGGAAAGCAGATGATAAAGACTGAATTTTATGTTTAATGTGATTGACCAATATTAATTTTGTCTTTCTGTTATTTTAGAGGTGTTATTCGTGTGGATGTGAACATTCAGGACATCGACTTGGATCAGTGTGCAACAGGTGACAGCTGGTTTGCTGATACTCACCAGTGCAATCGCACCAGCATGGAGGTAAACAAAGAACAGACCTGGAAAATATATCCCAGCAGGACAGTTGCTTTGAGTATTTGATTAATTGAGAATTAACCCACCCAGGTTGTTTAATTCATAACCAAAACATAATGAATGAAAGATTTTGACAAGAAACAATGTTAGCTATTAAAGGAATAGTACACCCAAAACATGATTAGCCTTCATTTTCTACTCACCCCCATGCTGAACAACACTCTGGAGTACTTTTTTGATATCTCAAATGCATCTGGAGATCTGGGAGGCTTCTTGCTGTCTGCTGACATTCAAATAATGGAGGTCTATGGTGCCCGAGGCAGAAAGGTCCATAAAAGTCCACAAAAAACGTGTCAATATTCCTCCATACTGCTCGTCCAATGTATTCCAAGTGTCCTGAGTGGGTAGCGTCCAGAATTTACTCGAAACTGTCAGGGTTTGGTTGTGGTTTGGAGGACCCAAATGCAGAGGCAGACAGGCTGAGGAGATTTCTGGGTGATTTAATTGGGCAAAACAGCAACAAAGGCAGGAATGCAAAAAATCCAACTAATAATCAAAAGCAAACCAGAACAATGGAGACATCTGGGGAATACCAAACACGAGGAGCCAGGGAGAGACGAGGAATGTGGACAACAGCATGGGAGGACAGCAAAGACAAGGAACCAACAAAGAGTGAGAGCAGAGGGAGAGCATATATAGGAGAGAGAGACAAAGGGAGGGCTAACGAGCAGAGAAGGAACAGGTGTGAGAGGAGACAACGAGGGAGCCAAGGGGAAAGGAACATACACACACAAGAGGGCAAAAGAGGACAACAGAAAAACTTGAGAACTAATATAAATCTAGAAATACAACAAAACTGGAATTAGGCTAATAAATCTAGAAAACAAGGAGCAACGAAGAGAACAGCAGAACCACGACCATGACAGTACCCCCCACTTAAGGGCGGATCCCAGACGCCCAAAATGTCCAGAAACAAAAAATAACCCCCCCTGGGTGGGCGGAGGGGGGGTAATTGACTGCGGCACAGGAACAGCCTCAGAGGGGGCCGCCGACTGCTGCACTGGAACAGCCTCAGAGGGAGCCTGGAGCGCCCGCTGAGGGGCTGTGGAGGCTTGGAGCGCCCGCTGAGGGGCCATGGAGGCTTGGAGCGCCCGCTGAGGGGCCGTGGAGGCTTGGAGCGCCTGCTGAGGGGCCGTGGAGGCTTGGAGCGCCCGCTGAGGGGCCGTGGAGGCTTGGAGCGCCTGCTTAGCTTTATTTCAGAGAGCATTTTAGTAGTCTGCTCAGGGAAATCAGGATGACTCTGAACGGGCTCAGGGGTCTCAGGCGCTAGGCTAAACGGCCCTCCAATGGGCTCAGGAGTCTCTGGTGCTAGGCTAAACGGCCTGATAACGGGCTCAGGAGTCTCTGGTACTGGGGAAACCCCCCCACTAATGGGCTTTGGAGCTAGGGGATCTGGCCCTCTACTGGGCACTGGAGCTAGGGAATCTGGCCCTCTACTGGGCACTGGAGCTAGGGAATCTGGCCCTCTACTGGGCACTGGAGCTAGGGAATCTGGCCCTCTACTGGGCACTGGAGCTAGGGAATCTGGCCCTCTAATGGGCACTGGAGCTAGGGAATCTGGCCCTCTACTGGGCAGTGGAGCTAGGGAATCTGGCCCTCTACTGGGCAGTGGAGCTAGGGAATCTGGCCCTCTACTAGGCACTGGAGCTAGGGAATCTGGCCCTCTACTGGGCAGTGGAGCTAGGGAATCTGGCCCTCTACTGGGCAGTGGAGCTAGGGAATCTGGCCCTCTACTAGGCACTGGAGCTAGGTAAACCGGCCCGCTAAAGGGCTCTGGAGCTAGGTAAACCGGCCCGCTAAAGGGCTCTGGAGCTAGGTAAACCGGCCCGCTAAAGGGCTCTGGAGCTAGGTAAACCGGCCTGCTAAAGGGCTCTGGAGCTAAGGACACTGGCCCGCTGAAGGGCTTGGGATGTGCTGGCTGACAGGGAACTGATGGAGGTGGAAGGAAAGGGAATAGATCCTCCCTTTGCCCATAAAAGTAGTCCCATAACTCTGACTCCTCAATATGTGGTGCTCTGACTGCAGTGGGTGTAATCATGGTGACTGACTTTAAACCTCTAACTCGAGGAGCTAACTGCTGATCATGGAGGTGACGGCCAAGGCCATAGGGGAAACTGACCTGAAGAAGAGTGGGATTGAAGCAGGCGTCAGGCTGACCCGCCGGAGAGGGAGTGGAGGCGTCAGGCTGACCCGCCGGAGAGGGAGTGGAGGCGTCAGGCTGACCCGCCGGAGAGGGAGTGGAGGCGTCAGGCTGACCCGCCGGAGAGGGAGTGGAGGCGTCAGGCTGACCCGCCGGAGAGGGAGTGGAGGCGTCAGGCTGACCCGCCGGAGAGGGAGTGGAGGCGTCAGGCTGACCCGCCGGAGAGGGAGTGGAGGCGTCAGGCTGACCCGCCGGAGAGGGAGTGGAGGCGCCAGGCTGACCCGCCGGAGAGGGAGTGGAGGCGTCAGGCTGACCCGCCGGAGAGGGAGTGGATTTCCTCCCCCGGCGGCGCTTACGCCTGGAGGAGGCAGACGGCATGGGGGGACCAACAGCTGGTGAAGATGGAGGAACCGGACTGGAGGCGATTGAGAGCAGAGTTGGAAGGAGGTGAAGTGATGGTTTGGGTGGTGGGGGTCTGTTGAAGAGTTGGGCGCTGGCTGATTGGTGGTTCCACTCCAACTCTTCAAACAGTTCAGACAGCACTGGGGCAGAAATGATTTTGGAGTTTGTGAGGAGAATTTGCCTTAGTTGGCCAGCTGCACTCACCCTCTCCTCAGGCGGGCTGAGACCGGCAATAGTGTCCAGAGCCTTTCCCAGCTTCAGAAAAAAATCCCTCAGGGTGTCCAGACTGGGCTCTGCTGGGTCCATTGTGGTTGGTTCCTATTGTCAGGGTTTGGTTGTGGTTTGGAGGACCCAAATGCAGAGGCAGACAGGCTGAGGAGATTTCTGGGTGATTTAATTGGGCAAAACAGCAACAAAGGCAGGAATGCAAAAATCCAACTAATAATCAAAAGCAAACCAGAACAATGGAGACATCTGGGGAATACCAAACACGAGGAGCCAGGGAGAGACGAGGAATGTGGACAACAGCATGGGAGGACAGCAAAGACAAGGAACCAACAAAGAGTGAGAGCAGAGGGAGAGCATATATAGGAGACAGAGACAAAGGGAGGGCTAACGAGCAGACAAGGAACAGGTGTGAGAGGAGACAACGAGGGAGCCAAGGGGAAAGGAACATACACACACAAGAGGGCAAAAGAGGACAACAGAAAAACTTGAGAACTAATAAAAATCTAGAAATACAACAAAACTGGAATTAGGCTAATAAATCTAGAAAACAAGGAGCAACGAAAAGAACAGCAGAACCACGACCATGACAGAAACGAAGTCATTTAGAATGTTTTTAGAGCATAAACAGTAGTGTATAGGATTTCCTGAAAGCGCGCGCCTGCGCGTTCACGACGCTACGGAAGCCGGCAGACCAAACCAGATGAAAGTGCGCATTCAGCGTCTGCTCTGCCAATAATACAAGCGTAGAAGAAGAAATGTGGTGTTTACCTGTGCAAAGAAAGAAACAACAAAAGAAAAATGTCTGAGGACTTCAGTGTTGAGGAAGAGCATGAGTTCTTTGCTGAGCTGAATGCGCACTTTCATCTGGTTTGGTCTGCCGCGGTTTCCGTAGACTCGTGAACGCGCTTTTAGGAAATACTATACACTACTGTTTATGCTCTAAAAACATTCTAAATGACTTCGTTTCGAGTAAATTCTGGATGCTACCCACTCAGGACACTTGGAATACATTGGACGAGCAGTATGGAGGAATATTGACACGTTTTTTGTGGAATTTTATGGACCTTTCTGTCTCGGGCACAATAGACCTCCATTATTTGAATACCAGCAGACAGCAAGAAGCCTCCCAGATCTCCAGATGCATTTGAGATATCAAAAAAGTACTCCAGAGTGTTGTTCAGCATGGGGGTGAGTAGAAAATGAAGGCTAATCATGTTTTGGGTGTACTATTCCTTTAAGAACTTTTATTCAGCTAAATTTCCTATTAGAAGCAAAATCCAGAATCTTTATTCTCATTATCAAACCGTAACGAATGGTGCTTAAGCTACCTGTCTAGAAGGCACACATTAAATGCAGAAAACAATTAAAACACTGATTATTACAACATTTGTAACAATATAAAACACCTCGAAAACAATTATATACACAGAAATATGGACTATAGTGTATGTAAAGTTAAGCTAGTACCAGTACCGATTTGAGAAGTTGGTAAATGGTCTACCTGATCATCGGCAGAGGTGTTTGTATGGATGTGTTTAATGTGAGGTCTTCAACAGGGGTCCCGCAACCCCTAGGGGGTCCACAGAGGTTCTGCATGGGGGTCGTGAAAGTTTTGGTTGATTAGACATTTTTTTATATTCCACCTGCAATTTTTTCCACTAATTGAAATGTCTTTAAATCCACATTAACATGAATTTAACACACTGCAGTAAACAGATAAATGGAGGCAGAAGATGTCTTTCAGTCATCAGTGCTCACATTCAGCGACACTCAGGAGCTCTTTCAAGCTGGGTACTGTTTCATTCACAACACCTGTCCCATCAACCAGGAATCAGAAATACTTTAATAATCCCAGAGAGAAATGACTTTGGTTACATTACTCCATCTGTAATAGAGTGACTATAGGACCAGTTAGATATAACACAATTTCATGCTATATATATAATTAGGGGGTCCCTGCTTCATCTCGCCATCAGTTTGAGGGTCCTTGGCCTGGAAAAGTTTGAAGACCTAAGATTAATGGATATATGGATGGGTGCACTGGTGCTCTCTGTGAGTGAGAATCATTTTTTTCTGGTTTCACAGACATAGTGACAGAGTTTCAGGGAAGTGAGGACATTTTCCTGTTTCTTACTTTCAGTAATGGCTAAGGTTTGGGAATAGGAATACGATGGAG